GACGAGCGGCTGGCGTGCGCCGAGCACGGGGACGAGCGGCTGGCGTGTGCCGACGTGTCCGTGGTTTATGGGTGACTCCGCTGGAGGCAGCCGGGTCTGTGTCTTCGGGGCACTGCCGGGCGTCTTGCCCCTACATGGAGCCCCGGAAGCCCTGGGGGAGTCACTGGAGCTGCTGTGGCCCGGTGGCTGCCAGGGCAGGACGGGCGCGGGGAGCAGAGCACTGCGAGTGGGTGGGGAGGGGTGGCTGTCCCGTCCCGTGTGTCTCTCCACCTGGCCTGTGGTCCCCTCTCTCAGCTGCTCTGCACACATGCCCGCCATGCGTGTGGGTCCAGGACCTGCCTGCCCAGAGGTTGTGGGGCCTGCTGAGCCCACCCGTGCCATGCCTGCCTGTTTCTTTCAGACGTGGTGCCGACTCCCCCCGACGGGCCACCCGCTGTGCTGGCCGTGACCGGCAGAACCGTCACGCTGACCTGGAACAAGCCCAAGTGGCTCGACTCAGCCATAGGTGATCTGGGCACTGGGAAGGGGGCAGGGGCTGGGCCAGGCCAGAGGGGCAGTGGGAGGGGGAGAAGGGCTGGGCAGGGCTGTGGGGCACTGGGAAGGGGGGCAGTGGCGGGGGATGGGGGGCAGTGGGAGGGGGAGAAGGGCTGCCCCCCAGTGCCTGGGAGAGCCAGTGGCCAGGTGGAGCTTAGAGCTGAGCCGCGTGGGGAGCCCCCCAGCCGTGGGGCCTGGCTGGGCTGGGCCGTAGCCGTGGTGCGGGGCGGAGATGGTGCCGGCTGGGAGCCCTGAGAACGTAGCATGGCAGTAGCCTCTCCTCTGCGCAGACCCCGCCTCGGTGACCTACACCATCCAGCAGCAAGTGCTGGGCACCAGCCAATGGACCATCGTGGCCACCGTCCTGCGAGACACGCGTGGCACGTTGCACAGCCTGACCAAGGGGCCGCGATACCTCTTCCGAGTGCTCACGGCCACCCCCAGGAGCAGCAGCAAGCCCTCGCCTCCCAGCGAGCCAGTGCAGCTCCTGGATCGGGGTAAGAGGGGCGGGGGGGACTCCGGGCCACCACCTGGGAGCTGCTGGGCCCCCTTAACTCTCCAGCCTGGGCTGTCTCCCACAAGGCTTTGTTAGTGACCAGCAGCAAACCCCTCCAGGTGCTGTGATCACTCAGCCACCAGCATGTGGAGCCCCACACCCCGCTGGATTGCATGAATGCTCCCAGAGCCGGTCACATAGAGAGAGGCACCAGCCCATCCCCCCAGCTCCCCAGCCTTGCACCCCGGAGCTGCACCATCCTGCCCCGGGCAGACACCCGACCAGTGTATGTTCATTGCCCAGTCGCCCTCCCTCAGTGTGCAGAGGACACGCACCAGCCTTGGTAACCAGAGCTGAGATTTCCCAAGCACTGGTTTAGGTAAAGCATAAAGCAGGTTTATTCACTACAGGAAGGTCGATTAGACGTGATAGGCACAAAAAGTCAGCGATAGTTACCAAAGAAAATAAAAGATGAGCACCCAGTCTAAATCTTAACCCTTATTATACCAGGCAGTATTTGGATCAAGCAGTTTTCTCACCCCACTGGATGTTACAGTTCTTAATACGCAGACTTCTCTCTCCAGCCTGGGACTAGTCTCTTCAGTTGAAGTCTTTGTCTTTCCATCATTCTTGTTGTTTCTAGCATAGGTGGGGGAGGAGAAAGGCAAAATCATAGAATATCAGGGTTGGAAGGGACCTCGGGAGGTATCTAGTCCCACCCCCTGCTCAAAGCAGGACCAATCCCCAACTAAATCATCCCAGCCAGGGCTTTGTCAAGCCTGACCTTAAAAACCTCTAAGGAAGGAGATTCCACCACCTCCCTAGGGAACCCATTCCAGTGCTTCACCACCCTCCTAGTGAAATAGTGTTTCCTAATATCCAACCTAGACCTCCCGCACTGCAACTTGAGACCATTGCTCCTTGTTCTGTCATCTGCCACCACTGAGAACAGCCGAGCTCCATCCTCTTTGGAACCCCCCCTTCAGGTAGTTGAAAGCAGCTATCAAATCCCCCCTCATTCTTCTCTTCTGGAGACTAAAGAATCCCAGTTCCCTCAGCCTCTCCTCATAAGTCATGTGCTCCAGCCCCCTAATCATTTTTGTTGCCCTCCGCTGGACTCTTTCCAATTTTTCCACATCCTTCTTGTAGTATGGGCCCAAACTGGACACAGTACTCCAGATGAGGCCTCACCAATGTCGAATAGAGGGGAATGATCACGTCCCTTGATCTGCTGGCAATGCCCCTACTTATACAGCCCGAAATGCCGTTAGCCTTCTTGGCAACAAGGGCACACTGCTGACTCATATCCAGCTTCTCGTCCACTGTAACCCCCAGGTCCTTTTCTGCAGAACTGCTGCCTAGCCACTCGGTCCCTAGTCTGTAGCAGTGAATGGGATTCTTCCGTCCTAAGTGCAGGACTCTGCACTTGTCCTTGTTGAACCTCATCAGGTTTTTTTTGGCCCAATCCTCTAATTTGTCTAGGTCCCTCTGTATTCTATCCCTACCCTCCAGTGTATCTACCACTCCTCCCAGTTTAGTGTCATCTGCAAACTTGCTTAGGGTGCAATCTATCCCATCATCCAGATCATTAATGAAGATGTTGAACAAAACCGGCCGCAGGACCGACCCCTGGGGCACTCCGCTTGAAATCAGCTGCAAACTAGACATCGACCCATTGATCACTACCTGTTGAGCCCAACGATCTAGCCAGCTTTCTATCCACCTTATAGTCCATTCATCCAGCCCATACTTCTTTAACTTGCTGGCAAGAATGCTGTGGGAGACCGTGTCAAAAGCTTTCTAAAGTCAAGGAATAACACATCCACTGCTTTCCCCTCATCCATAGAGCCAGTTATCTCCTCATAGAAGGCAATCAGGTTGGTCAGGCATGACTTGCCCTTGGTGAATCCATGTTGACTGTTCCTGGTCACCTTCTTCTCCTCCAAGTGCTTCAAAATGGATTCCTTGAGGACCTGCTTCATGATTTTTCCAGGGACTGAGGTGAGGCTGACATATCTGTAGTTCCCCAGATTCTCCTTCTTCCCTTCTTTAAAGATGGGCACTACATTTGCCTTTTTCCAATCATCTGGGACCTCCCCTGATCACCACAAGTTTTCAAAGATAATGGCCAATGGCTCTGCAATCACATCAGCCAACTCCCTCAGCACCCTCGGCTGCATTAGATCCGGCCCCATGGACTTGTGCATGTCCAGCTTTTCTAAATAGTCCTGAACCTGTTCTTTCAGCGCTGAGGGCTGCTCACTTCCTCCCCATGCTGTGCTGCGCAGTGCTGCAGTCTGGGAGCTGACCTTGTCTGTGAAGACCGAGGCAAAAAAAGCATTGAGTACTTCAGCTTTTTCCACATCCTCTGTCACTAGGTTGCCTCCCCCATTCAGTAAGGGGCCCACACTTTCCCTGACCTTCTTCTTGTTGCTAACATACCTGTAGAAACTCTTCTTGTTACCTTTCACATCCCTTGCTTGCTGCAACTCCAAGTGTGATTTGGCCTTCCTGATTACACCCCTGCATGCTCGAGCAATATTGTTATACTCTTCCCTCGTCACTGTCCAAGTTTCCACTTCTTGTAAGCTTCCTTTTTGTGTTTAAGCTCACTGAAGATTTCTCTATTAAGCCAAGCTGGTCGCTGGCCATATTTACTATTCTTTCTGCACATCATGATGGTTTGTTTCTGCCCCCTCAATAAGGATTATTTAAAATACAGCCAGCTCTCCTGGACTCCTTTCTCCCTCCTATTAGCCTCCCAGGGGATCCTGCCCATCAGTTCCCTGAGGGAGTCAAAGTCTGCTTTTCTGAAGTCCAGGGTCCGAATTCTGCTGCTCTCCTTTCTTCCTTGTGTCAGGATCCTGAACTCGACCATCTCATGGTCACTGCTGCCCTGGTTGCCACCCACTTCTACTTCCCCTACCAACTCTTCCCTGTTTGTGAGCAGCAGGTCAAGAGGAGCACGGCCCCTAGTTGGTTCCTCCAGCACTTGCACCAGGAAATTGTCCCCAACACTCTCCAAAAACTTCCTGGATTGCCTCTGTCCCTTATTTTATCCCCTCAGTGCCTGGAGCCCAGGAGCCCAGACATGTCCTGATGGGCTTTGCTGAGTCGCAGGGTTGAGCAGTCCCCAGTGTGGTGCTTGGGCAGCCCCCATTGAATTGTAAATCCCTGATTCGAACTCCCCTGCTGAGACTCTCAAACTTACCACATATTTCAGTAACAACCATCCAGCAAAATCCCAGAACTTCCTACACCCGAACGCTAGACACAGGGGTGCCAGGTGTCCCGTTTTCGACCAGAACGCCCGGTCCTGGCAGCTCCGGTCAGCGGGGCTGACTGGGCCATTAAAAGCCCGATCGGTGGTGCAGGCAGACTCCCAACCTGGCTCCGTGCGACTCCCGGGAAGCTGCCGGCATCTCCCTCTGGCTCCTAGGCGGAGGGATGGCTACTGGGGCTGTGTGCGCTGCCCCCAACACTAGCGCCAGCTCAGCGGCTCCCATTGGCCAGGAACCGCAGCCAATGGGAGTTGAGGGGGCGGTGCCTGCAGGTGCAGGCAGCACTGAGAGCCACCCCGAACCCCCTCCCAACCCCCTGCCCCAGCCCGGAGCCCCATCCTGCACCCCAAACCCCGGCCCAATTCTACATCCCAAACCTCTCATCTCCAGCCCCACCCCAAAGCCTGCAGCCAGAGCCCTCACCACCCCACCCCCTAGAGTCTGTACCCCCTCCCACGCCCCAGCCTCAGCCCAAAGCCCTCTCCTGCCGGAGTCCTCACCCCCTTCCAAACCCTCTGCCCCAGCCTGGAGCCCCATCCTGCACCTCAAACCCTGGCCCCATCACCTACAGCCAGAGTCCTCACCCCCTTCCCAACTCCTGCCTCAGCCCGAAGCCGCCTTCTGCACCCCAAACTCTAATCTCTGGCCTCACCCCAAAGCCCGCAGCCAGAGCCCTCACAACCCCACCCTCCAACCCCCTCCCCCATCCCGGATCCCCCTCCCACACCCTGAACCCCTCATTTCTGGCCCCACCCCAGAGTCCATACCTGCAGCCGGAGCCCTCACTGCCCCCTGAACCCCAACCCCCTGGCCCAGAGTGAGTGAGGGTGGGGGAGAGCGAGCGACGGAGGGAGGGGGATGGAGTGAGCAGGGTGGGTGGCCTTGGAAAAGGGGCAGGGGGCGGGGCAAGGCTGTTCGGTTTTCTGCAAATAGGAAGTTGGCAGCCCCAGGCATATGTATTCGGAGAGAACAATGGGTTACAGGAGCTCATGACCTTTTCTATGATATCTTACCTGGCCGGCTGTGTAAAACCGATCACCATTACACAACCATGGTGAATATGGCGGTTCCGGGGTGCTGCTTTGAGGTGCAGGGGGGGCACGTGGCACAATGGCCGGTCCCTTCTCCAGCAGGCAGGGCTGCCGGGGAACCAGGTGGGGGGGCATGTCCCCAGTGATCAGGAACCCCATAGCTAGGGGGGTGGTGGGGAGCAGGCCCTGCTGGGGCGGTTTCTTTCTGGGCCTTGGCAGAGGGGCGGAGAAGGGGGCTCAGGCCAGGCCCCACGGGCCGGGCTGCGGTTGCCGTAGTGACTAGGGGCTGTGTTGGCAGGTCCATACCTGGAGGAGGCCCCTGTCATCCTGGACAAGCCAGATGTGGTGTACGCAGTGGAGGACCAGCCAGCCTCCGTCACCGTGACCCTGAACCACGTGGAGGCCACGGTCACCTGGAAGAGGTGGGATGCAGCTTCACCAGCCCCAGCTCTGGCAGCACCAGGGCGCGTGAGCCAGGCCGTCCATGGCGTGACTGGGGCCTCTGTCAGCCAGCACCGTGCGGGGCTCCCTGGGGGCTCCCTGTGGCCCTGCGCTCCGGGGGGTGCCTCTTGGAGCATCTCCAACCCCCCCCCTGCACCCCCGAACCATTGCTGAATTGTATACACAGCTGGGGGGGGTCCCGGCGACTCCAGCCCGGCCTCTCCCAGCAGGGGGCGCTGTGGGGGGCGGGG